CTCTAACGTATAGTGGATTCCTACTACACGTTTCTCAACGGTTATCGATGCGCCTGTTGCAAGGCGCACCGTCATCCTCGTGAGGGGGAACGTCGCGCTCAACGAACTTGAGCCTACGACCCTCTAGTGACTGGCGTCGAACAACTTTGTTCGACGCCCCACAGTCTACTAGGGAACGAAGCGACAAATCATTTGTCACTTCCAACTTCAAGGTGACGAGCGAAACGTCATCACCAGGTGCAGAGACACACAATGATTGTGTATCTGGAGCAACTTTCGTCAAGAGATTTGCAAATTCTCTTGAGGTTGCTGGATCAGTAGATAGCTCCGCCCCTACTGACCCCGTCCATTTTTTTATGGTCCGTCTCGCTGTTGCGGCTTCGCAACAGCGCTGGACCAACGCCCATTGCCCTTTATGGCAAATGGTCGTCCATTTCGCTCAGTACTGTTTGGTACTGGGCGTGGAGCACTACACTCGTATGCGTAGTGCCCTAACTTCTGACAGCGATTGCACCTCTGCAATCGCTTGTTGTTCGAAGAGCGAGGTCTCTCGCTCTCGACATAGCAGAGGTCCATTGGTTCTGGACCTCCGATCTCTTGTCGTCTCGGTGGACGATAAGAGTTTGAGCTAGCATGAGCCTGTCTCATGCTAAAGTCTTCCTGTTCCGCGGCTGATATCGCATCTTCCAGCGTATTCAGCTGAAGGCGGAACAGGTGGCTCCTGACGGGACCTTTTGCGAGCCCTTGCATGAACACCGTAATCAACGTGTGTTCATGAACTGGGTTAGCAGTTATACTACTCTTGAGGAGTCGTACATGTTGAGAGTAAGCGTGCGCATCACGCTTACCCTGCTTGGGTTTCAGGAGCTCTGAACGAGCCCTGAACTCAGCCCGTGGCGGCTCAAAAGTTTGTCTGAGCCGGGACTTGAAGTCATCTAGCGACCCAAACACATTTGGGTCGCTACTCTCGAGACCCAGGGACCAAGTTATGGCGCGTCCTGCCAAGTGGGTTTGAGCAAATGCTAATTTCATTTGCTCATCCTCAACGCGACGAGCCCTTGAGGCTCTGTCGAGTTCGACAAACCATAGTAACAGGGAGTCGTCCGGGACTCCACTGTACTTGGAGATGTCAACTTTCATGACTTCGGGACGACGCGCATGTGCCGTCCCGCCCACAGCAGCATGGAATTGCTGCTGTCTCAACAGCTCTGTCTGTTGAGCACCGAGTTCTCTCAACTGCTCGGCCTGTTGAGAGCCTTGCTGGTGAAGCAAGGCTACTTTCTCCCTCTCGATGGCAAGTTCATTTTATATGAACTTGGCGATAGCGGCATGTTGTTGGTCTCTATCTAGAGACTCCAACATAGCGCTAATGGCGAGCTCGACTACGGTAGAACTCATTCGTTCTACCGCACCCCATTCGATGTCACTCAAATGGGTAAACCTTTCACGCGTGGCGTGAAAGGTCTCTTCATCATCCAACATGTTCATGTTGGATGTTGTGGTCCTTGGAAGGACTACAAAGTGCTGCCAGGTGTAACGGGGCACACCCTTGCGTGAACTTAACGCAAGGGTTTTGGTGCCCCGACAGACGTACACGTGGCAAACGAGGAAGCGTAGGTAGGGTAAAAGCAGAACTGTTATATTAACATAATTAAGTCGTTTGTGACTGTCTCTCTGTTTAACTTAACTTAATTATACTAATCTAACTGAGTGTATGGTGACGTCTCGTCACCACTCATTGCGCGCGTCCTGCGGCGATTGGTGGGTTGATATCGTCAACCAAGATATCAACGAATGAGCAGACTCTTTGTTCGACCCTTCAATATCACAACTTTGGTGATATTGTTTAAAGAATATCCAACTTCATATTCGTTATTGTCACTTTTCTTAAAGTGACAATCCCATGTAACGGGCTGCCCCGTTACACAGTGGTTAAAGACTGAATTATATTAATATAACAGTTTTACTTTTCCCTTATCTACGCTTCCTCGTTTGCCTCGTGTACGTCTGTCGGGGCACCAAAACCCTTGCGTTAAGTTCACGCAAGGGTGTGCCCCGTTACAAGTGAGCTACAATCAAAGAAGGCTGACGCCTTCCATTTCAGTGCACTCTATCACAGATGGAGGACGGTGCATTATCACAATCGCACTGTAGCAACGACAACCTAGTCGAAAGGGTCACAGCATCTTGGCCATGCTAGCGTGAAGTGCTCGATTGGGTGTCTCTGCTTACGTCTGGCAGCACGTCGAGCTGAGTCAAACTGAGAGCAGGTAGATTGATTGTACCTCCTCGGTGCTACAGTCCGACAAGATTAGCCTGCACAACAGCTTACTAGACCGAACAAACGTAGAAATTCAATCAAATTGCCATTTAGAGAAAAAGAGAGCCTGAACGTTATTACAGCGCTTCAGGCAACTTGATATCGGTGCGCTCTATCTGGACTACATCGTTCTCCTTCTCGCTGACTCAGTTTGCTGGCTCGAGGCGACGGGTGTCACGGGGGACACTCCGCATTTGGCACGTGGAATCGTGTACCCAGTCTGGGGTGCAGACTGGGCGCTGAAGTCGCGAAAAACGCCGGGTACGAATCCGATCACCCCCCCATCCCCCGATGGGCCGCTGATACCCCGGTACGGGTCCGATCGTATCCCGTTGTAAGCAACTTCGCTTCATGGGAGATCGAGAATCACGTTAGGCGGCCGCGCTGGCGACTGGACGATGGACGTCGAATAGCAGGAATCATGTGAAGAATGGCAACTGCTGGTGCCATGTCCTTCTGCTTGCTCCCCTGTCTGTTTGCACGCTGCGCTGCCTCCCGAAGCGCACGCAGCGGCAAGAGACCTCCCCCTTAAACTTGGACCCCACTACGGAGTACTTTTCGCTCGGGAAAAGGTGTCGGTAACTCGACTTTTTGAAGGTCTCCGTCGCTTGGCTGTTGGTGCCCAAAGTACAAAGTTGGAATGATGGAATGAGCTAAAAAAAGCAAAATATTCCCACACCAAGACTCGAGCCCGGATCTGCTGGGTGAAGTCAGCTATTCCGACTACCTAGACTTTATGAGAATGCTGCCAGAGCCAAAGACACCTAAACATGTACACATACGTGTTTAGATTCTGATTACTATTGCAATTGTATCCAATACATGCTACTCTGACGTCAACTTCGACACCAGTTCGTGGATCCTTCGGAAAGCTCATCTTTGGTGTGACCGACCACGCACCGCCGACGTCCCGTGCCACTCTGTGCAGTGCAACGTTGTACAGTCTCGCACAACACGCCCGTCTTGAGTGAGGTTTTGCTGGCGTGGCCGCATTCGACGTGGTGGTCACCCTATGGTAAACAGTTTACTCATGTTCTGCGTCCGTGCGATTGAACATAGTCATCCTTCATTCCTACAATCGGTCGCCACATCGACAACTTGGCTTTCGTATCTGGATCGTGCAACGTCCACTATTGTCATGCATTGCCCTGCCCCGCTCCAGAATGCATGACAAGCTTGGAACCAATCTCGGTTGGCTTCTTTGCAAAACCAAGTGTTATCAAAAGGCACACAGGACCTATCGCCTCTGCCTAGTCGTTCCTGCAAGAAGCGCTTTTCTAAAGCTGCTCGTGATGGTCAAGAACGATGGCGTGCCGCGCTTCAGTACGTGTGGGTGTTCTCGAAAGCTTTGAAAGCTGACCCCACGGGTATGAGCCAGATTTCGCGCGCCGATTGACAGTGTTTGCGAGTACCGCGCCTTATCTTACAGCTGTCAGGAGCGCTTTCACACATGCTATGAAGTAGCTACATCGCCGCACTGGCAAGCTTGTGGCACCATAGCACGCGTAACTCACTCATCCGTTTTACTTGGCATCCTTTCCAAACCTTTTCAGTTACGAGGAAGACGGGAAAGGCGCGGAGAGGAAAGGCGGATAGGCAATCGTACGTACAGAAGGAGAGCCTCGACGCAGTCTTACGCAGGCGACTTGTTTCGTTGGCAGCGAGTTCGATCGCAAAGACACTGAGTGGACTGCGGTGAAGCAACCAGCGCCATTCGGTGAAGTGGACGAAGGCACCACGTGACGGACACAAAACGGACACAAGAAACGACAATGTAAGCAGGAGGTGCGTAATGCTGGGGCGTGCAGAAAGACTGTTCGCTCGACGAAGCGCCCTCTGGTAACGGTCGACTACCATGCGATACGTCAGCTTGAAGTCCCTGTGCATCATGCGGCAAATCTTTTTCTGAAATATTCCCGAGAAAAAACCTCGTCCGGATGTGCTATGCACATGTCGCCTATCGAGCAAGTGATGTTCATATGCTGTTTTTTCCCGCTTAGACGCAGTGCGGTTGCAATACGTGGAAAGAGCGAGCGAAGGAGGGACAGAGAGATCGAGGAAACGAGGAAACGAGAGAGAGAGAGAGAGAGAGAGAGAGAGAGAGAGAGAGAGAGAGAGAGAGAGAGAGAGAGAGAGAGAGAGAGAGAGAGAGAGAGAGAGAGAGAGAGAGAGAGAGAGAGAGAGAGAGAGAGAGAGAGAGAGAGAGAGAGAGAAAGAGAAGAGAGAGAGAGAGAGAGAGAGAGAGAGAGAGAGAACGAGTCGCTGTCCCACACGTAGCTACAGGACCACGACAGCGCCTCGTCCGTGCGTCGCAAGCCGTGTGGTCAGCCTGTCTGCTCACTCGCGCCGCTTATCACGTGATCTGCCTCGCGCGCCTCGTTCATTGGCTACAATGCGCCGCCGCCAGTAGTAGTCTACGGTTCAGTCGGCGTGTCTCGTCATGACCATCTGGTTCGTCGCCGTTTCACGCGACCCCACCCCGTCCTGTCTGATCCCACGCATACAAACACCAAGTGCCCGTGCCCCCCACGACCGCACGACGACAGGCTCTCGTGGGCGCTGCCGCTCCGCCGGCTCTCTCCGCGCCAGTCTGTGCCATTCTGGATTTTGCCTCGTTCGACCGAGTCAAGAGACCGCCTTCTGCCCCCTCTGCACGCGCACTGCAGCCACGCACCGCACAATGGCCGGACCCGCCTCGCCGTCTCTCCCGCGCGCGCTCGCCGCCGTTGCACTGCTGCTGACAGGCGCCGCGACGGCGACCAACTCGGGCGAGCCGGGCTTCTGCAAAGACGACAAGTCGTGCGAAGACAACTACGTGTGCATCAGTGTCCAGACGACGCGGTCGGGCATTGAGGGCGTGAAGCAGTGCTTGCCGTACGTGGCCGAGGGCGACGTGTGCTCGGGCACGTTCTCAGGCCTCTGTCCGTCGTTCTCGACGTGGGACACGGAGTTCCAGTCCATCAGCAGCGTGTGCGCCTACCAGCTGCCGTCGGGCACGGACCAGTGCCTCAACGACTCGTTCTCGGGCGGCTCGGACACGAGCGGCTTTGTCTCGTGCATGGACATTAGCACGGGCTCGAACCGCTCGTCGTCGCACGTGGGCGTGATCTTTGGCTGCGTGGACTTTGACGGCACGAATTTGCTGTTTGAAGAAGACTCGGACAACTGGGAGCTCTCGTCCAAGATGAACTACACGGCGCTGATCAACGAGGGGTGCGTGAACCCCAACAACGGCGACAACTCGGACGTCGTGTGCTCGGGCCGCGGCACGTGCGCCCCGGCGTCGCCCGGCACGATGGCGTACGCGTGCAACTGCAACATTGGCTACAACGGCACGTTCTGCCAGAGCATTGTCTCGAACAAGTGCACGCTCGAGTCGCAGTGCCAAGCCGGGACGTGCAACCTCGTGACGCAAGAGTGCGAGTGCGAAGAAGGGACGACGGGCGACCAGTGCGCGTTCTGCGACCCGTCGTCGGCCAAGGCGTGCAATGGCCGCGGCAAGTGCATTGCCGCGCCCAGTTCTGACGCCCGACGCGAATGCGTCGATGGACTCGAACTCGTCGATGAACGCAAATGCGCCGCCGATGGACCCGAACGCGTCGTCAATGAACGCGAACGCTTCGATGCCGAACTCGAACCCGTCGTCGAACTCGAACCCGTCGTCGAACTCGAACCCGTCGTCGAACTCGAACCCGTCGTCGACGAACTCGAACCCGTCGTCGAACTCGAGCCCGTCGTCGAACTCGAACCCGCCGACGATGGCCAACCGGAACGACGACGACGGTACGAACACGGACACTGTTGACACTTTGGACGCGGAAAGCTCAGCTTTGACACGCGGCACTCGGTTCTTGACGGAAACGACTGGCTCGTCGAGCGGCAATGGCAACGTCTGCGAGTGCGAGAGTGGCTACACGGGTGACCAGTGCACGCGCGAGGTGGAGTCGAGCGGCAGCGGCGACGGCGGGCGGTCGAATCGCCGACCCCGTTCGTCCAGTGGAGCTGCTTCGGTCGCCATGTCGTTTGCGGTTGTGGCTGCTGCGTGTGCGTTTGCAGCGTGGCACTAGACGCGAAGATGAGCGACTCCAGCGCTGGTCGTGCGTTGTTGCCCACTTTTGCGCCTGTAGCAGAAACATACGTGCGAGCAGGAGGGCGCGAGTGGCAGTCGTGTTGGTACATGTGACTGCTACCGACGTGCCAGTGCCTAGCGCACGTGCTTATCAGTTTCTCTGAATACAGCTTGTTTTTTCTCTAAATGTCGGGGTTCTGCGCGAGTAAATCGGGTTTGGTCTCTTTTGTGCTAATGTGCACGCGAAAAAAGTGTTTTGTTTTTGTTGTACATTTGTACAAGAGGATCAAAGCGGACAGTCGTAATAATCGCCACGACTTCACGTGAGAATCTCAACATGGCTACACTCGACTGCGCTCGTCGACGTTAGTTGCCGACTGGTTCCCAGTTTTATGTGACGCACACGTCCCACTCTGTTGCGAAAAGTCAGTGTTTAAAACCACAAGAATCACGCAATGAGTCACTACCGACGGTCGTCCATGAGTCGCTTGTCTGTCAGCAGCAGCGTAGCAGCGGTACCCACTGCGCTGCGCAACGACGCGATTCTGTACTTGACGATCATGTCAGGACGCGAGCTGAAGAACGTGCAGACGCTGGGCGAGCAGGATCCGTATTGCAGCGTCTATTTGACCACGGGCGGGATCGAGCAGGAGAAGGCAGCGTTTAAAACCGACACACATGACAACGGAGGTACTGACTGCACCAGCTATTAATTGCTTGCGAGTGGTATAGAGCTTCGGGTGCAGAGCGATTCCATCGAACGGTGCTGATTGGATGAAAGTGTTTGTTGCGTAGGCACACAGCCAATGTGGAATGCCAAGGGACACGTTCTGATACCTGACATTTCGTCGGACGTCATTCGCTTCCGCGTAAAAAACAACAACTGGGGCAAAAAGTAATGGACATGTGTTTCATACTTTTGTCGTTGTCGCCGTGCAGCGGACAACGGGAATAGTGGATACACTGACGACCGTGTGTCTGAAATGGCAGTACGGTGATTGGGGAAATCGCACTGGCCATGCGGGACTTGTCTCGTGGACGGTCGATGGAAAAAGAGTTTGCGCTGACACCTAAGGGGTACCTGAAGGTGCTCATGTACCTCTCGCTCGGTCACGGTGCGTCGTTGGCTCGACTATATTGGAGAAGGAGTACTGGCAGTGCTGTAACGTTTCGTTTGTTTGTGGGGTGCTAGAAAACCCGACGTCCCAACCGCGTGTGAAGTTTGGCGAATACCCTCAACACTTTATTCCTGGAAAGACGAAACTGTACGTGGGACTCATCTCTGGCAGCAAGCTGCGTGACATCCAGTCGTTCGGTACGCAAGACCCGCTCTGCGAGGTGTACATTGGACGCAGTCGCACGCCGTCCGTCAAGGATATGGTGTACAAGACGAAGACTCATGAAAACGGAGGTGGGTGGTGCTTGCACGTGCGTGTCGTGTGTCAATAACGTGTGTCATGCTACTATCGCAGGCAAGAACCCGCGCTGGATCGAAGGCCTCACGGTCAGTGTTCGATGCATCGAGCACGACTTTCTCGTGATTCGCGTCATGAACCACAACACTATGATAAAGTGGGTCTTTTGTCGACCGTCGATGGCTGCTCGCCCTCGAACAAACGTCTAATTTGGTCACTTGTGCGTGTGTGTAGTAAGCTCATTGGGGAGCTGTGCCTCAAGGTCGAACTGCTGATCAGCCGCATGTTCGAAGACAAGAGCTATCCCATTGAAGCAGACGATACGATCGTTGGCCAAGTACGACTTCAGCTTGCACTGTTCAACGACGAGATCATGGACGAAGACGAGATCCGCGACTGCGACGTCGACGGGTGCTCGTGCGCGTTGACGCAGCCAGTTCGGGCTACAAAAGTCGGCGACGTGCTGATTGACGGCATTTCGCCCCATGGCGTGCAGTATTTGGAAGCTGGTACTGCCGTACATACTGGATGCGAAATTGCTGGTAATTATGTCATAGATAAGGACGTGTACGAAGGCGATAGCTGGGAAGGTGACAACTTGGACTCGGAGCCGTCGTCAGGCAGCGACGAGTGGGAAGGCGACGAATTATGATGGAGTTTTAAACCTAAACGAGCCGTCGCGCAAGAGCTTTTTTTGCAGGGGAAAAAGCGTTTGTTTTGAGCCATCGATCGCATTGTTTGTCGAAAGAAAGCGTTTGTTTTTAATCGCATTTTATAAAAAATGCGTGAGCTTCTCGGAGAAAAAAGTAACGTGCCCACGCGACAGCAGTCGAGACAGTAGACACAGATCGACGAAAGGATGTTCAGCGGCAGAGACTCGAGACGAGGCGACAGCGTTCCGTCATTGACCAGTCGTAGCAGCGTCGGCGAGGACTCGTGGACCGAAGTGGAGCGACAGGAAATCGATCATGCCGTAAGGAGCGACGTGTTGATGATATTGATCATTACCGAACGTGTTTAACACAATTTGTTTTCAATCAGACGTCGTGTGGGTCCGGCGGCATGTGTGTAGTGATGGAGGATCCCGTGGATGTTTTATACAAACAAGAGACAGTGTACCTGAAAGTGCACGCACTATGCGCTCAGTCGACGCTGCGGCGTGCGGCAGGAGGTCTCACGAAGAAGAAGAAGAAGACAGAGGCGACGATGGGGGAGGAGGAGAAGGAACCAATGCGACACACGGACAGTGCAGTGCACGGAACTCTGTTTGTTACCGACTACCGTGTTTTTTTCCTATCGGCTGATGTGAGTATAAAACACTCTAGTGCTCCTCTCTTGTGTTTTTTTGTTTCGCGTGTGTGCATCGGTGTGTTTTTTACTCATTGTTTGTGCATCGGTTGTCGTAGAGCTCTCGGGGCAGCAGCAGCAGAGTCGAAATGGACGTCCACTTGACGAACATCGCAGAGCTTACGGAGCTCCACGTAGACGGAACAGTCGGTGCGATGAGTCAGTTGGAGGTTTCGTGCAAGAACTTTGAGCTCGTGAAGGTCAGCTTCACGGGAGAGACTGTCTCAGGTGACGTGTACGTTAAGCTCAACCAGCTGCTCATCAGCACACTCCGGCCTACAGCGTATGCACTCGGTCGTGAGCCAGACAGCTTTGGATGGACGCGGTACGACCCTCAGGCAGAATTCGCTCGCTTGGGGTTCAAGACACCAAAGAGTGGCAGCCAACTTGGCGGGTTTCGAATCACGCACGTGAACAGCAAGTACACGATGTCTCCGACGTACCCGAGCTCGTTCATAGTCCCTGCATCCGTGTCAGACGGTGAGTTGCGGAAGATTAGCTATTTCCGTGCTCGTGGGCGTGTGCCGGCTGTGACGTATCGTCACCACAATGAGGCGGTGGTTGCCAGATGTGCACAGCCGCTTGTAGGGCTTCGGAGAAAGAGGTGCGCCTCTGATGAGGCGTACATGCTTGCGCTACGACGAGAGTGCAAGGGGAAGCTGCTGTTTGTCGATTGTCGGAATCAGACCAGTGCATACGGGAACATTGCACTAGGTGGAGGGTTTGAAGTGTACGGGTTCGTGGTGTGTACAGAGGACTAGTTGACATCACCACTGATGAGGTCGTCTGTGTTGGCATACAGTTTGGACTACTACAAGGACACCAACATCATGTTCATGGGGATTGAAAATATTCACTCCATGCGAGATTCCATTCGCAAACTGTTCGATCTGATCAAGAACGAAGTACGAGGCAACGAGCGGCCGAATTGGTTGTCATGCCTGGAGGTGCGTATGCATCTCACAGACCGGAGTTGAGAGTGGAGCTCACTGCGTGGATATGCTCTTATCTTGTCATTTTCCATCTGTAGAGCACACGGTGGCTTGAACACGTGCGTTCTATTCTCGTGTCGTGTTCCGTTTGTGTCGGAAAACTTGTCGAGGGGACCAGTTTGATGGTGCACTGTTCGGACGGATGGGACCGCACTGCTCAAATAACAGCTTTGGTAAAACTATGCGCAGATCCATTTTATCGGACAACAAAGGGATTCCAGGTGTGTAGTGCTTTATGTGCCCGTTGATGGCTAGTCGTGCGCCTGATGATTTGAATGATATTGCTTTCAGGTACTTGTCGAACAAGAGTGGTGTGCATTCGGACACCAATTCTGCGCGCGATCGGGAGACGTAGCCGGCCAATCGCGTTACTGGGAAGATGACAACACATCACCCGTGTTTATGCAGTTCATAGATGCTGTGTGGCAACTGATGCGCCAGTTTCCCTGTTCCTTCGAGTTTAGCGAACTATACCTCATTGCTCTGCTGGACGAAGTCTACAGCAAGCGGAGTGGGACCTTTCTTCACGATTGTGAAGAAGCTCGGATGGTTAGCTCATGCATTGAGGTGTCTCTTGGCTACAGCTTTTTTACTGAACATTGCTGCGTGTGCGTGTACTAGAGATCCCAGGCTGTCGTCCAGTGTACGACCGCATGGACGCTACTTGAGATGCATCCTCAGGCCACCGATTTTCGCAATCCATTTTTCATGGTGCCTCTCAGTGGTGACGATGAATCGACGTGCAAGTCTCCGTCAGTGCTGCAGTGCAAATGGCACACGAGCTCGTTGACGATCTGGTCCGCGTTCTATCTGAGGTCGCTGGGGTCGAACCACTCTCGGGTACACCAGGTTCCCTCGCCTTTTCTCGTTGCGTGTCACGCTGGCTGCGTTGGTGAAGACGACAAGACACTTAACATTGCGTGTTGTGTTGATGTATATTGCTACAGGAGGCTTGGGCCAAGGAGCTACAGATCACCCAGCGCGAGTTGCACGATCAGCTGAGTGCCGCCCATCAGCGGTTGCAGTCTCAAGTGGAGCAGAACGCAGATCTCCATAGTGAGTTGGAACAGCTACGTCAAGAGCGTGCACAGTTGCACCGGTTGCTGGAGGGGGAGGTGTATAGTGACACACCGAATGGGTTGCTGGTGCACGAAGAGGACGAGACTGAAGACGGTGTGTTGCTCAGTGTAACGCCCGTCAGCAAGAGTCGCACGACGTTGGAAGCCACTAGCCACATTGGTGGCTCGAACACGTTTGGAGCAAGTGGAGCCAAGATGTACTCGACTACTGGCGTTGGCTGTTTCTTGGGTGGGTCCATGAGTCTGGAGTTTGACATTTTGCCGACGTACTTTGACCGCACTCGGCACGAGTCTCGACCCACGCGCTTAGCACCGCCAAGCAACAACGTGCACAATGAGGTCTTTGCTGCGCCCATATGATGAGGTGCACATCAATGCAGGAGCTCATGCCGTATCTACGTGTACACAGCATTCCACCCCTTTCGCGCACCAGGGGCTGACCTCCGCCAGTTGTGCGACAAGATCACTTCCAGTGGCAGCCCCAGCATGTCTACACACAGTGGTCAAGAAACAACTGGTCGTTCGTACTTCTTGACCATCCGGAGTCCCGAATGTCATCAGGGATGGTGATTGTCTTTCGAGAAAGCCATATGTAGCAGACAAAGCGCGCACGGAGAAGAGACGCACGCGTGCGTTGATTGTTTGCATGGGACAAAAGGTCAGACAAGCCACGTTTACACCTTCTGGTTCTTGTCAGCTTTGCATTTGATCGATGTCTGCCTTTGTTGTCAATTCCCTGACGATCGATACCCATTGCATTCACAGCGGAAAACGACTTTGACAAGGAAATGCTGATCGGCCCCACCGCTCGCCAGAAAACGAAGTGCAGATCGATCCCAAAGTATATCTTGTCCCTGAAAAGACTCGAAATGAAGTGCACAGAAACATTGCAACTTACTTGAGCCTTCGTTGTCGCTTCGCGTATCATGTGACAACTCCATAGCAGCGATGTACATATCTTTTTACGGGTCCGATGCACTCTGTGAATGGTCATTTTGTCTGTCGCTAGGACACGCGCACTCTCTTTCCGTCCCGCGATTCTCGCTCTTGTTGACGAAGCACACGTCGCAGCAGCCTCGTGAGACCCGCACAAACCAGTCGAGCATCGGCTACTGTCGTGATGAGCCGCGCGTTGCTGCATTCCATACGGACTGCGATTGGAACCCATCGGTAGAAAAGGGCGAGATGAACAAGGAAGCAAGGGACCAAACGGATGGCACGACTGCGTGCATCCCGAAGCCTTACACAGCGTCAACGATAGCGCTGGGAAACAGATCAAGTGGCGCAGCTGGCTACCATGGCCATGCACCAGACGCTTTGGAAAAGCTGGTTTTTAAGAATCGACATGACGGAGAAGGATGTCCTGAATCCAGCTGCATCGGAGAATTCTACGCACGACATACATTCAATAGCCAGTGCCTTCGGGACCGGAAACTAGTACGCGATCATATCCAGGGGGCGGCTGCAAAGGGCGGAGCAGATTCCTGGTCAATGTAGCGTTTCGGTGACGATCTTCTAGCTCCACTACGCTCATTGGCCACCGTGACCCCGAACAAACTTCGCGATGGTACTAAGTATGAACGTAACGTAGGGCGCAGACGATGAATAGGTCGTTCGCTTTTTGACGTTAGATTGACCTCCACCGTCGGGCTCACCTTTGACATTCATGTCGCACAACGAGGCAGATGAACGAACTTACTGCGCCGTCCAAGTGCTATGTGCAAACGTAGATTGTGCTTGTTCTGCACAATAGATACACTAAATCAGAGTTAGATATGTGCGCTTCCAGTGTCAATTACTGCGCAATCTTTCATGTTTCATCACTTGGTACGCTTCACGACGCTTTAACGGTGGTGTCATATCCACGCTTTAACCCTTCACATCCGAAAGCAGCACTCATGTTTAGGTAGTGCTGGGCACATTCGACTACTAACGACGCGCATAACGTCAAGACGGTCGATGCTTTCGAGCTAGCCGATATCTCTAACGTACAAGTAAGAAAAGGTTCGATACGGAGACCTGAGATATCGACTCAAACACGCATTACGTGCAACAAGGGACATCCATCCATTACCTTTGATGTCGCCAATCGAGATCCATTATCATCATGTAACGCGGTGATCCCCGTTACGTTGACATTATAAATGCGAACATTACCTCAGCTGACAATATTGTAGAGTATTGCTGTAAAAGGTAATGTTCAGTATATTCTGCGATTTGGTTGATAATGGCACATGTATCAATCAACAAGCGACCAATGAATGAATGAAAGACGCGCGCACCGGGTGGTGAGTAAACAGTTACAGTTCAGGCTTGAACAGCATTTAGATGCGATTCATTCAGCGTTGAACAACGTCCATTCACATGACTAATCACAACACATACAGCTCTCTTTTTCCATTCTACTATCGTGTTCCTTACGCGCATAAGCTTCTCATGGGCGTTCGTGTGCGTGTACGTGATGTCTCAGCGCACCTGCCTACACTATTGTCCGTGTGAGCTTGCTTTATGCCATGTGTAGCACAAGCGCGGGTCCCCGTTGCACCAGACTGATAGTTGCTGCGACGTAGCAGGCGAGAGATAAAGCTATGTGCTACATCAGACACCTTGCTCGAAACTTAGCTGACTCGGCACCCTACGCCTATACTGATGACACAACAAATTATATACGCTGATGACAGTGCAGACGGGTGTACGCCGAAATATCCGACCATGGTAGTGTAGAGGAAGCGCAGTCAGCTGAACAGTAACACATAGTTGCATGGAAGAAGAGAGCGGTGTTGAATATGGTTGGGTCATCCAATAAGGTATCGTCCAGACCTTGCTTGAACGATATTGAGGTACAACATGCACGTTGGCATCTTGCTCACCACCCCTTCCGCGCGTTTCGCACGAGTTCGTGGATTCGTCGACCAATGTAATGGCCCATAGCTGCCAGTGAGTAGTGTGCCGCCAACTACGAAGCATACTACCGCCAAATGTGTACTATTCTTGAGAACGTTTGCTAGAAAGATATCCATGATTGTTGCCGCTGCAATACCATATTTCGATATCATCCGCGTAACTAATACTCCTGGACATCTCCGCCATTACAATATATTCGCATTGTCATTTGGGTTGGTGTCAATATTGTGGAACAGGGTCACTGTTACTGCTAGCCCGTTACATGACATTGTCATTAAGAAGAAGATGACAGTAAAGAATATGACGTTGAATATTCTTTTACAACATCACTAAGTATAGTGATATTGTTGGGATGACCGAAGGGTCTACTCATTGTTTGATATTGAGATGACATTAACCCACCATTCGCTGCTAGACGCGCACAATGGGTGGTGAGTAGACGTCATCATACGTTTGGTTAGAGTAATATAATTAAGTCGGGAAGAACAAGAGAAACAAGAGTTATATGACATATTTGTATTAAATAACAGTTTCACTTTTACCACGACCAGAGTCTTCACCGTAATCTTTTCTACCTTCCTCTGTGAAACTCTACACCTAGCTCGGCACTGACAGTCACCGTTGTCAGTGAAATCTACCTCCGGACTAGTTGACCAGTACGTAGTTGTCGGTACCCTGTTACAGTCACCCCACTGAATATTGTGTACCTTGTTGGCAACGTCGGTCACTGTCACTAAAGCAATACGACGGCCACGTTTTTACGAGCGACACTGTTGTGTACATAGTCAATGTGGAGTGCAGTCTTGAGTATCACGGCCCACGTTGAGTCTGTCTAAAGACAGCGTGATGCGTAAAGATGCGATTTTCCCATTTACTACGGGCAACGCTTCGTGCAGGACTGTCGATCGTCGGTCTCGTTCCTCCTTCCGAGGTGCTGAGGGTTTTTTTCGTACGCGGTACTTGCTGAGTTCGTCGACACTGCACAAGCGGTCGCGGCCAGCTCCGATACTCCACAACTTGCGGGTGCTCCCCACCTGCACTCTACATCGGTCAATATGTTGCTTGTTGCACACTTCTGAGATCGAGGAGAGCTGTCGGTTTTGCCAGGTGCCACCCGCAAACGCAAAAATCAATTACCATTCATCGGGATCTTCGCCGCACCTCCCACGACCGAATGTAAGTCTTCATTTGTCACGCTGGCCAAGCGAAGACTCTCATCGAGTCAATGAATTTATAATTTTTCAGCGAAGGCTCGTAGCCTGCACTATGAGACCCACTTTTGCACCTATGAACCAAATGTCACGTAGATGGCTTCGCTTCCGTGCAAGTTATGCTGTCGAGTTGTCTTTGCGAGCAGGACTGACACGAAATCGTTTATACACTTGAGCAGCGCCCACTGCATCATCGATAGCGAGCGTGCTGCAGAGCTGAAGGGTGTGGTAAGACGGCGGCATCTGAAGCGCGTACAGTCAGCGTCTATGCACCCGAGTCGAACAATGACTCAGAACGCGGCACTTCATCTTTGCAGACGGCGCATCTATCGAACGGATATGCAGTAGCTGTGGAGCGGTCTATGGAGCTATAAAGGGCTCCCTTTTTGCTGCACACGCTAGACTTGTTTGCCTTCTCAAACATACATACAGTCTTCCCTCTGCTAAGTTATCCCCGGCTACGGAATAACCTCCGGTAAGTTATAGGATTCGGTCTCCACCGACCTCGTTCTATGGTGACTACGGAATGAGTTATACGGAATAGCCTGAGGGCCAAATACAACTTATCAGAGGGAATATTTTTGTCCGCCGTGAGCAGAAATATTGTACGCAGAACCTTTTTTTTGTTATTCACTGCAAGAAAGGAGTGGAAAGAGGAGAGGAAACTACTTCAGCCAGGAATCAAGTGTGGTCTGAGTGGTGCTCGCACTACGGAGATCAGCTTGGACTTGGCGAAGGGTGCGGTGAGCTATACGACGGGACTCCTGAGAAAGGTCGAGAAGGGCGATGGATAGACTAAGGCTGGCAAGCTTTTCAGCCTTCGAATGCTTTTCCACCTCCTCCTCCGCCTCAGCAGCACCTTCCTCCTCCCCATACGGATCCTCAACAAGCTTGATGATTTCGGCATCGGTCAGCTCCGCATGCGCCGTCTCCTCCTCCTCAGCCGGATTGAAAAGAGAAGCGATCGACATGGGATTGCGGAGCGGGAGCCTTTCCAGCGCCGAAACAAGATCCTGTTCCACGCGCTGCTCCTCTACTGCAGCAGCTGTTGCCTCCTGCTGGGCCTGCTGGCCAACAGTGCCGGCTTCGTTTTCACCCCCACCAGTCGGCAGAGCCGGACCGTCCATGAGTCCCGTATGACGGAAGCAGTTGGCGATTGTGGCACTGGAAATCTCGCTCCACGCAGCCAGCGACCAACGCATGGCCGTGAGCTGATCAACCTTGTAAAGGTTGGTTTCTCCGCGCTCGTCACGGTCCGAGGCATTCTGCAGATGCAGCCGGCGGTAGTGCCTCTTGAATGCGGCAATGATCCCAGTATCCATGGGTTGGACCTTTGAAGTCGTATTAGGAGGAAGAGCCTGGACCGTGATGTTGGTGAGTTCCAGGTCAGCAACAATGTGTGAAGGAGCGTTGTCCATGAGAAGCAGGATTTTTTATCCTTTTGCTGTGGTCAACGCGTTAGTCAAACCTCATTTACTGTACCACAACGATGATGTTCAAGGCATGCCCCAAATTACCTTCATACTTTTGTCGACGTCTCCCAGCCATTCTTGGAAGAGTATGCCAGTCATCCAGGCTTTCTTGTTGTTGCGGTAAAGAAAGCCCAGTCGCTCAGCTGTCTTGCACTCAAAACACCGCGGCTTTTTGGCGTGTCCAATGAAGAACGGCGGGAGTTTGTCGGATCCATCAGCGTTTGCCGTGAGAGCAACTGTGATGCGCGTCTAGAATAGTTGTTAGTGTCAGAGAAACGCAGGAAACCAAGATGAGAGCAATAATGTACCTTGTCTTTTTTAAACCCTTCGACCTCTTGCTGGGCAATCGTTCTGTCGGGCGTCATACTGTAGAACAATCCTGAACAGAAAGTGAGCCTTTGAGATGCTTCTGTACTGTACAATGAGTACAGTACTGTACTGTATTCTCAGACCTACCAGTTTCGTCCATGTTGTACACGTCACGTGGAGTATAACCAGCAACCACGGCCTTGAGGTGTGGAAGACCCTCCTCTAGAGCGCCCATATCTGCTGAGCCACTCTCGCCATGAATGCGGACAGCTCGCAGTTTGTGGCGCTGCTGGAATTTGTGGAGCCACCCATTCGAAAAGCGGATGTTTTCCTCCGAGGCGCCCATTGATCCCGCAAAAGTCTGAGCCTTGGCCCGTGTGATATCTCCAGTGAGAGCGACCCCACGGTGCTGGCATTGCAAGACCCAGAAGACGACGGCCTCCTCCACAGCTGGGTGCTGGACAGTCCGAGGACGCTTAGCGCTGAGGTTAGTGGTGTCCATTGCCTCAAGCTCCTTCCTTTTTTTTGATGATTTAGCTGATCGCTGCCTGGGAAAGTGCCTTCTGGAGGTCAAAGGCGTCCTTTGTCCAAGCCGCCAGGGCAGTCTGGGTGATGCGCGGGTTAGCATCCTGGTGCTTGCAGATGCGCAGCTTCTGCTCGTTGGTAAGACGTATCTGCGACATCTGTTGTGAGTGAGCAAGGTACAGTTGGTGGAACTTCTTAACCAGAGATAGCAAAATCACCAGAGACTGGTAGGGCAATTAAAATCACAAAATCGTCAAAGGGCACGTGACACGTGACAGACAGGTTTTGGAAGCCTGGAGGTTTGTTGCGTTTTTGATTCTTTAATTAATTAAATTAATAATTTTTCCGCAGCATATCTCTGCTATGGAATAACCTCTGCTATGTTATAAGATTTGCCTTCCACCAAGTCTATAACTTAGCAGAGGGAAGACTGTACGTACATATATGCGCCTGTCAAGTAAGCCACATGGGCCACAATCGCGCGGCATTGGTACGACTCAGTCAGTGTGCGGTACGGCACTTCAGTGGAATCGTACCTTCTTTCCACACATAGCGCTCTTTCTCGGCCAGTTGTAGTTCTTCGTGACCATCTGGAGCCCCTGGTGCACTGGCGACCATATGCCGAGGCACGCCATGAGACATGCGACGCGATCGTCACGATGCACAAAAGACGCTGCCATGCGTTGCTTGTCGAGCGACATGGGGTCAGACCGGGCACTCAAGACTCTGCCCTGTCGTCATCATAGCTGCAGGTCCCATCAGCTAGCATCTCGTTGGGGCGACTGACGCCGAGGGAGTTCGGCCGTGGCAACAAACGGCTCAGAAAAGGTATGCAGGCTAGCCTTGTCGCTTCGTAGCGGTCGATTTGATCTCGCACGGCGTGGTCGACAGTACCTCGCTGAGACGATGCGACCTCAAATCACGGTGCTAGAGCATGGCGACATGTAAGCACGGTTCCAGACCAGGTCAATGACTCTTCTCTGACGAGATGGTGGGGTCGACGATTCAATTTGATCGCTGTTTGGCGCAGTAATTGGTATGGACACCACCACTTGCGCTGGAAAAAAGGCGGGAAAAGATGTGCCCGGTCTGGTCCCATCGTGCACTCTCTATCGCTCAATGACCACGCAATGACTCGTCCATAGCGACAGGCTTTTCAAGGAGCAGCTCAGTACACTCAGTCACGTTCACTTTTGCTTTTGCCTCCCACACGCAACAGGACACTCCACGATGCGCGTGCTCTATCTCCGTTTGTTCGTCCTCGCTGCTCTCTACGGAGTGCACGGCGCGGGCGCTTCGTTGGACAAACCCGATTCGTTTCAGCTTCGAGCTCTACGTGCAGAAGAGTCACATGCTTCTTACGCAACCGACCACCACGTGGCTCCACCGATGAAAGACGGCGAGCCGGACGAGGAAGAGAGAGGTCAGATATGGCAGAGTATACAGCATCTTGGCGTGGAAACCAAGGGGCTGTTTGGCTTCAGAAAACAACCGTCTCGACCTAACACCGAGGTAGCAGCGGTGGCAAAGGTGATGGACGAACGTGGGGAAGCGATGCGACACAGTGAAGCTGAGGACGTTGAAAATCTTTCGCCAGAGCAACTGAGGACGATCATGGAGGCCGCAATCAAGATGTATCGTGAAAACCCGGAGCTGGCTGAAGCAAACTTGCGAGCGATGGATGCAGTGGAGAAAGCAGCACAGAAGGATGCTGCAGCGCACAATAAACCAAGTCGTAGGGACCGTGTGTTTGCGCCAGTAAAGAAACTGTTTACACCAGTGACGAAACGGTTCGTATCAAGGAAGGCGAAAAAGCTGCAGGAGCAGCAGAAGTTTGAGGAAAAGGTAACTGAAATACTACGTCAGACTCCGCAGAGCTTTGATAAGGGGGGATTGAAAGTTGAAGCGCTGCGCGAAAGTTTGCGCGTACCTGCACCGGAACAGTTGACGACCAATGAGGCCGTTGCGCAGTTTTTCGCGACCCCTCGTGCTGCTGAAAGGTTTATAAAAGTTCATGAGTACGAGCAGTACCTCAAATCTCATCCTTCGTAGCCGAGGTCGTAGGATCCGGACTTTCTAGCTGCCGAACTGCATTCCTCCTCGACGTTGCGCAGGTCCAGTTGTGGACGATTTGCACAGGTACAATCATTCGTGTGCTTGCTTCGTACTAAATCTGACGAGAGCAACTAGCATCCTCACATGACGTATATACATGTACATATCTAATGAACATGGGTCCGAGAGCTATGAGTTCTATCATCTTGTTATCTTGTTTGGCGTGCTGAAAGTGGTAACAGAGATGCTGAAGACTGGAGAACGCAAATAGTCGACGCGAGTCTCGCAAATAGTCGACGCGAGTCTCGTCCCAGCGTCGACATATTGTTGCAGTGAACCAGTTACACCGAGCTCGGAAAGAATAGCAAAGTCCTAGTCGTGCCTTTGTCGACACCAGGCGCTCGAGAGAAAAGTCATAGTATAGTAGCTAGCAGAGCTATGTCGGAGCTCAAGTTTTGCCGTAATGTGGTGACCCCGTTGCATTGACATTATAAATGCGAACATTACCTCAGCTGACAATATTGTAGAGTATTGCTGTAAAAGGTAATGTTCAGTATATTCTGCGATTTGGTTGATAATGGCACATGTATCAATCAACAAGCGACCAATGAATGAATGAAAGACGCGCGCACCGGGTGGTGAGTAAACAGTTACAGTTCAGGCTTGAACAGCATTTAGATGCGATTCATTCAGCGTTGAACAACGTCCATTCACATGACTAATCACAACACATACAGCTCTCTTTTTCCATTCTACTATCGTGTTCCTTACGCGCATAAGCTTCTCATGGGCGTTCGTGTGCGTGTACGTGATGTCTCAGCGCACCTGCCTACACTATTGTCCGTGTGAGCTTGCTTTATGCCATGTGTAGCACAAGCGCGGGTCCCCGTTGCACCAGACTGATAGTTGCTGCGACGTAGCAGGCGAGAGATAAAGCTATGTGCTACATCAGACACCTTGCTCGAAACTTAGCTGACTCGGCACCCTACGCCTATACTGATGACACAACAAATTATATACGCTGATGACAGTGCAGACGGGTGTACGCCGAAATATCCGACCATGGTAGTGTAGAGGAAGCGCAGTCAGCTGAACAGTAACACATAGTTGCATGGAAGAAGAGAGCGGTGTTGAATATGGTTGGGTCATCCAATAAGGTATCGTCCAGACCTTGCTTGAACGATATTGAGGTACAACATGCACGTTGGCATCTTGCTCACCACCCCTTCCGCGCGTTTCGCACGAGTTCGTGGATTCGTCGACCAATGTAATGGCCCATAGCTGCCAGTGAGTAGTGTGCCGCCAACTACGAAGCATACTACCGCCAAATGTGTACTATTCTTGAGAACGTTTGCTAGAAAGATATCCATGATTGTTGCCGCTGCAATACCATATTTCGATATCATCCGCGTAACTAATACTCCTGGACATCTCCGCCATTACAATATATTCGCATTGTCATTTGGGTTGGTGTCAATATTGTGGAACAGGGTCACTGTTACTGCTAGCCCGTTACATGACATTGTCATTAAGAAGAAGATGACAGTAAAGAATATGACGTTGAATATTCTTTTACAACATCACTAAGTATAGTGATATTGTTGGGATGACCGAAGGGTCTACTCATTGTTTGATATTGAGATGACATTAACCCACCATTCGCTGCTAGACGCGCACAATGGGTGGTGAGTAGACGTCATCATACGTTTGGTTAGAGTAATATAATTAAGTCGGGAAGAACAAGAGAAACAAGAGTTATATGACATATTTGTATTAAATAACAGTTTCACTTTTACCACGACCAGAGTCTTCACCGTAATCTTTTCTACCTTCCTCTGTGAAACTCTACACCTAGCTCGGCACTGACAGTCACCGTTGTCAGTGAAATCTACCTCCGGACTAGTTGACCAGTACGTAGTTGTCGGTACCCTGTTACAGTCACCCCACTGAATATTGTGTACCTTGTTGGCAACGTCGGTCACTGTCACTAAAGCAATACGACGGCCACGTTTTTACGAGCGACACTGTTGTGTACATAGTCAATGTGGAGTGCAGTCTTGAGTATCACGGCCCACGTTGAGTCTGTCTAAAGACAGCGTGATGCGTAAAGATGCGATTTTCCCATTTACTACGGGCAACGCTTCGTGCAGGACTGTCGATCGTCGGTCTCGTTCCTCCTTCCGAGGTGCTGAGGGTTTTTTTCGTACGCGGTAGTTGCTGAGTTCGTCGACACTGCACAAGCGGTCGCGGCCAGCTCCGATACTCCACAACTTGCGGGTGCTCCCCACCTGCACTCTACATCGGTCAATATGTTGCTTGTTGCACACTTCTGAGATCGAGGAGAGCTGTCGGTTTTGCCGGGTGCCACCCGCAAACGCAAAAATCAATTACCATTCATCGGGATCTTCGCCGCACCTCCCACGACCGAATGTAAGTCTTCATTTGTCACGCTGGCCAAGCGAAGGCTCTCATCGAGTCAACGAATTTATAATTTTTCAGCGAAGGCTCGTAGCCTGCACTGTATGAGACCCACTTTTGCACCTATGAACCAAATGTCACGTAGATGGCTTCGCTTCCGTGCAAGTTATGCTGTCGAGTTGCCTTTGCGAGCAGGACTGACACGAAATCGTTTATACACTTGAGCAGCGCCCACTGCATCATAGATAGCGAGCGTGCTGCAGAGCTGAAGGGTGTGGTAAGACGGCGGCATCTGAAGCGCGTACAGTCAGCGTCTATGCACCCGAGTCGAACAATGACTCAGAACGCGGCACTTCATCTTTGCAGACGGCGCATCTATCGAACGGATATGCAGTAGCTGTGGAGCGGTCTATGGAGCTATAAAGGGCTCCCTTTTTGCTGCACACGCTAGACTTGTTTGCCTTCTCAAACATACATACAGTCTTCCCTCTGCTAAGTTATCCCCGGCTACGGAATAACCTCCGGTAAGTTATAGGATTCGGTCTCCACCGACCTCGTTCTATGGTGACTACGGAATGAGTTATACGGAATAGCCTGAGGGCCAAATACAACTTATCAGAGGGAATATTTTTGTCCGCCGTGAGCAGAAATATTGTACGCAGAACCTTTTTTTTTGTTATTCACTGCAAGAAAGGAGTGGAAAGAGGAGAGGAAACTACTTGAGCCAGTAATCAAGTGTGGCCTGAGTGGTGCTCGCACTACGGAGATCAGCTTGGACTTGGCGAAGGGTGCGGTGAGCTATACGACGGGACTCCTGAGAAAGGTCGAGAAGGGCGATGGATAGAATAAGGCTGGCAAGCTTTTCAGCCTTCGAATGCTTTTCCACCTCCTCCTCCGCCTCAGCAGCACCTTCCTCCTCCCCATACGGATCCTCAACAAGCTTGATGATTTCGGCATCGGTCAGCTCCGCATGCGCCGTCTCCTCCTCCTCAGCCGGATTGAAAAGAGAAGCGATCGACATGGGATTGCGGAGCGGGAGCCTTTCCAGCGCCGAAACAAGATCCTGTTCCACGCGCTGCTCCTCTACTGCAGCAGCTGTTGCCTCCTGCTGGGCCTGCTGGCCAACAGTGCCGGCTTCGTTTTCACCCCCACCAGTCGGCAGAGCCGGACCGTCCATGAGTCCCGTATGACGGAAGCAGTTGGCGATTGTGGCACTGGAAATCTCGCTCCACGCAGCCAGCGACCAACGCATGGCCGTGAGCTGATCAACCTTGTAAAGGTTGGTTTCTCCGCGCTCGTCACGGTCCGAGGCATTCTGCAGATGCAGCCGGCGGTAGTGCCTCTTGAATGCGGCAATGATCCCAGTATCCATGGGTTGGACCTTTGAAGTCGTATTAGGAGGAAGAGCCTGTACCGTGATGTTGGTGAGTTCCAGGTCAGCAACAATGTGTGAAGGAGCGTTGTCCATGAGAAGCAGGATTTTTTATCCTTTTGCTGTGGTCAACGCGTTAGTCAAACCTCATTTACTGTACCACAACGATGATGTTCAAGGCATGCCCCAAATTACCTTCATACTTTTGTCGACGTCTCCCAGCCATTCTTGGAAGAGTATGCCAGTCATCCAGGCTTTCTTGTTGTTGCGGTAAAGAAATCCCAGTCGCTCAGCTGTCTTGCGCTCAAAACACCGCGGCTTTTTGGCGTGTCCAATGAAGAACGGCGGGAGTTTGTCGGATCCATCAGCGTTTGCCGTGAGAGCAACTGTGATGCGCGTCTAGAATAGTTGTTAGTGTCAGAGAAACGCAGGAAACCAAGATGAGAGCAATAATGTACCTTGTCTTTTTTAAACCCTTCGACCTCTTGCTGGGCAATCGTTCTGTCGGGCGTCATACTGTAGAACAATCCTGAACAGAAAGTGAGCCTTTGAGATGCTTCTGTACTGTACAATGAGTACAGTACTGTACTGTATTCTCAGACCTACCAGTTTCGTCCATGTTGTACACGTCACGTGGAGTATAACCAGCAACCACGGCCTTGAGGTGTGGAAGACCCTCCTCTAGAGCGCCCATATCTGCTGAGCCACTCTCGCCATGAATGCGGACAGCTCGCAGTTTGTGGCGCTGCTGGAATTTGTGGAGCCACCCATTCGAAAAGCGGATGTTTTCCTCCGAGGCGCCCATTGATCCCGCAAAAGTCTGAGCCTTGGCCCGTGTGAGATCTCCAGTGAGAGCGACCCCACGGTGCTGGCATTGCAAGACCCAGAAGACGACGGCATCCTCCACAGCTGGGTGCTGGACAGTCCGAGGACGCTTAGCGCTGAGGTTAGTGGTGTCCATTGCCTCAAGCTCCTTCCTTTTTTTGATGATTTAGCTGATCGCTGCCTGGGAAAGTGCCTTCTGGAGGTCAAAGGCGTCCTTTGTCCAAGCCGCCAGGGCAGTCTGGGTGATGCGCGGGTTAGCATCCTGGTGCTTGCAGATGCGCAGCTTCTGCTCGTTGGTAAGACGTATCTGCGACATCTGTTGTGAGTGAGCAAGGTACAGTTGGTGGAACTTCTTAACCAGAGATAGCACAATCACCAGAGA